AGAAGTATAGCGCTGGTGTCACCAGAAAACCGGCAGTGAGCTGTGTAAAGCTACGTGGATCAGTTTTTAAGAACAAATTTATTTACGATAAATAGGATAAGATTTCGAATGGATACAAAGGTTTTGATGACGTTGAGTTCCCTGAGCGGGATAATTTATTCGTGAAGCTTTCATCGTCATTCTAGATGTAATCAGTAAAAGCTTCAGAAGTGCCAAAAATAGTCGGATAACTCACGAAGCTGAAACTTTAAGTAATATTAGAATCGATAAAAAACTAGTTCAAGAAAACTTAAATGTCGAAATTAAGAGTTGAAAACTCGAAAACCAGGGGATACAGTATCTGTAACACTAAGATGAAACCATCCACTAACTACCTATTGCAGCGAAAGTTTAGCATGTGACATGCCGCCTACGCAGAAATATTAAAATACTCAGCTAGGATACGTTAATGGTATTTTATCCTACATACGTAACACCTCGTTTAGAACACTACGATGAAATAGCCAGGCCATCCTCAAAAAATGGATCGATGGACTTGCAAATTTATGAGTGTCTGAAGAGTAAGCACTAAGCTTATGATGATCTTCCAAACCTGTTCCACAAGGAAAGCTTAGACAGGCTAAATCTCTCCTTACTATCTTGTCATAAGAAAAGGGTTGAAGTTATTCAAGCATTCCGTATTTTAATATTCATTCGGTATTTGTACTTTTTATCCTTCTTCACCCTCTGTGAGTGATAACCTTCCATTCCATACCAGGGAATTTCAAAACCAGTGTGGAATCAGCTTAGTGTGAACTTGTTTTCCTCTCACAGAGTTTCTTTACGCACTCAGCCAACTTGTGCATATCCGTGCAGTAGGTAACGAGTCACACCTGTTGCGTGAGGTCTAATGATACTACCTGGTTGCCCAAACCTCGGTAGGTGGAGCGGGGCTAGAACCCATGACTCAATGGTTTTATGACCAAAAACTCGGTTATATATAGAACGAAGAGAAAAGCAGTCTCTGATAGGCACATCAGTAGGAGGATGAATAACATATTTTCAACGGATATCTTCAATGAGAACAGAAAGAAGTCTTATCAAACTGAAATACGTAAGAATGTAAATACTATAGTGGATTGAGAGCAAAACGAATTCAGTGTCGATAAATTTAATTCAGAAAGTTCGAAGACTCAAATATATCGAAAAGGCAAAATATCTCAATTATCTGTACCAAATAATACTAATGATGCACGTTTGGAAGTTGATACCAGTCAGTATTAGAGGGATGATGATAATAATAATGCATATAGCCACAGACTCTCAAAAAAAATCTCGTCAAAATAAGAATATCAGGCTTACTAATAAATCCCGACTGACATTAGAAAGATCAAACATATAAAAAAAAGAACACATTGCTAAGAAACAAACACCAAAAGGAAGAAAACAACGTATAATTAGTGGGTGCTCAGAGAGACATGGTTTGGAAATATATCTGTTGCTAGTGTCAGTATGCATAATTCATACAACAAATTGTAGAAGCGTGGAGTATCTGTTTCATGAACCAGGTAAATTTGTGGACGAATTAAGTTGATCTATTACAACTTTCATACAGATAGCGCTAAAATCTAATCTGAATAAGTCTCTATTACTAACCGAGTTTAACACTCAAAGAAACTTAAGTGCCTAGTAAGTAACCGACTTCAAATGCGATTTACCACTTAAGCAGACTTCGAGAGCTGTCGGTTTCTATAGATGTATTTTTCTCAGTAGTAAGATTTATTGTAGTGCGTTACCATATCCAACCAGAGGTTCCGCAGATTATCGTCAGCTTGCAGAGACGTTCAGCTATCTAAGACGAAGTGTAACTAGGAGCTATTTACTATGCACGGCTATGAAACATGGTCACTGAAGGTGTAGAATTTGAGGAATATTCGACCACTCTCGTAGAATAACCATGATTTGCTCCAACCACTGAACAAAAAATGAAAACAGCTGACTCAGATTTCGAAGTGAAATATGTAAGTTAAATGATGTACGTAAAGAAACGTTCAATCGAGGCAGCTAGAAATGGATGCTTTAGAGGTTAAAACACTATTCACCACTAACGCAAAATAAGCTGAAGCGCAATTAAACTCAAGGATGTGTTGCGACATCAAAACATAATATCAATCCTACAATGTTCTACACCAGGTAAATTTATTTAAGTCTCGCAGTTATGACCAGAGAAACAATAACTATCCACGTATGCAGACTGATTTATCTCACAAGTTCAGATATATCCATCTTAACCTCACCCTAATCCTATAATTAAAGCCTATTGTTCACTTCAATATCTGTTCCCATCACCTTGTAACTTTCTATAATTTTCGACTGTATTTTCATTTCGTTTGCTCTCCTTCTGCGTCGGTACGCTGATCTAGGGACGCAACTTGGAACGTTACAGAGTGATCCCGGTTACTGTGTTAATAATGTTTATCCATCCGAAGCCAAATCGAATAACTTCGACAGCATGAAAATTGGAGATGCAATCGTTTACAAAGGAGCACATGACACTCCTAGCCAAGAGTTTACGTCTCCTATAAATGCACCAACTCATGAAAATAATGTCATAAATGATGCCTATTCACAAGTATTGGCCTCAAAGCATGTCATTCGGACTTGTATGCCCGAAGACAAGTTCCAAATGCATGGCGAGTCAACAACGAAGCGGCAATGCACCTTATAGCTGGTGAAAACCGATGAGCTCCTCCCAACTGCTCCATCAGTAAAGAATAGGAATTTATTTCGGAACTATCATAACCTTAGCAGAATCCACTAAGTGAAATTTTAGAGCCCCTCAGGAAATAACTATTTATGATAAAGTGATCTTTTCGGAAATGATTTTTGTAAACAGGGAGGCATTAGATTCCCGAAACATTCATCAACCAAATGATCATGACAAAAAGACATCATCTCATCGTTAAAAGAGCTGCTAGTCAGGAGCTAGTGTGTAAGATCTCACCAAGCTCGAAACCTTGTGGCATTACCTCCATGAAGTAGACCACTATGGAAAACCATGTAGTCATATGATGTAGTTTAGAACTAAAGTCAGCACTTATTAAGAGCTTCAATTACCCAGACCTAACTTGGTTGTGTCAAATGTCGCAGAACTGCTTGAAACCAGACCAGTCCTTCAAAATATCCATAAGTGATTTGGTTACTGCCCATCATTTTGTAATTTTCATCACAATAGTTGCCAAGTAGATAGTTAAGAACGTCAGAGATTGTTCCAAAAGTTCTGATCACGTCCTGCTCCGTAGGCTTATAGGCTCAATAACTCAATAAAACACCTAGTGGCCTAGGATGTGAATGCCACGACGGAGAACGAATTTCTCTGTGTTAGCAAGCCTTCAATAAAGTTCCATACGATGTACTTCTGATCTTCCGAAAACGGTTGCTGGCAAAAGCTATCATAGGGTTAAGGTTCCCCTAGGTGAAGGCAGTGGCAACTACTGACCTAAGCACAAACCTTACGCACCACTGTACTGTACCTACTAACAACCTCATGCAGAACAGCGACAGCTGCTAAAATCTACGAAAACTCCTAACCACATATCTGACGACGAAAAATCGATGGAGCTTACGTGCGATACAGGGAGCGGTTTAAGAGCAGTTCAGAAGACTGTGCTAACCTGACGGCAGGTAAATGTGAAGCTGATAATCCGTGTCTGTCACTGTCACTCACTCTAGTTACGCAACCCCCGAAACATAGTGGGCTGACCAATAATTCCGAATGAAATCATATCACTACTGCGCCGCGAGTCACTTTACTGATAAACCCCTTCAACTTTCGTCGAACAGAACTAAGATACCATATGTTGGCGTTGAACAGCTACGCAGGAATGACGAGGGATCTCTTTAGGTCGAACTGAACACAGTCGGCCTTATGCTGCTGCAACTACTGTTCAGAAACCTACGTAGAAAGCCCAAACCCCCCAGCGACAGACTCACGGAGGCTGCCGAAGCTAGTTGGTACGAAAACATAATTCCCGCAATCGAGCCTGCTTTCTTATCCTCTAACAATACATCACCTAGGATTAAGGCATGCAGAGCAAGTGTACGTCGGTTAGTTCGTGAATCAGACAGGACCCAAGGTGGGCTGTTTCAAGCTGGTCTGTGTAAACTCTGACTCTTAGTCGGTGTGTTCCCACGATGCAGTGCCGTTCATGAAGCCGCTCAATGCAGCAAGATACTAACACGACGACCCGGTGCTCCTCAGACCAAGATACACACAACCTGCAGTCAAACCTGTTTCGAATTAGACCTACGGTGTAACGCGGCTTCAATTGAGGCTCGACAAGCTAACCCCGCCTTCGAACCCAGAACTCGAGACGTAAAATAAACAATACGAACGGGCTGACCTACTAATATAGAAAAGCACTTAACAGTTGTGAAACCCGAAGACTGCAGTTCATCGGTTGTATGTACGACGAGACACGTCTCCCGCTCCCTTACAACTAATAAGGCAGGAACGACTATCACAGCGAAGCAGTGTCGAACACTGACTAGCGCACAAAGCCAAGAGCAGGGTCGGATACCAACAAGCATTTAAGAATAAGAACCGTCCTTCATAACTGTTTATTACAGAAACATCAAGGTTGGAGAAGTTGGGATGACTTAAGGCGTCGAAAAGTGCAAATTGTTGGTACAAAAATCTTAGAACGCATACCGGATGGGAAGGAATTGACGGCAAAAAACGCTGATCCCTGAATAAAGAAACGGTCAGGTTAAAGCCAACACACGACACATAGACATGCCTCGATATAACGATAGCTACAATTAAATGCAAAATGACGCAAAGGCGTATTCAAGAGTAGAATTTTAAACCGGGGCGCGATGTACAAGTGTGGGAGCAGTCTGTTTTTGCCGTGGTACAATAAATCAAACATCTCGACAATGCGTTATACAGATGCGAAGACATACACGTTTTTGAAACAAACATTTAAGGTTTAAATGGAAATGATATATTGCAATGATCTTTAAACATCCGCTCCTCCAGTTTCGTCCTCGTCGAGATCCTGATCATCGTCGTCATCTTCGTCCTCGTCATCGTTTTCTTAAATAAAATTAAACCATTAGTTAGTTTCAGCCGTGTTTAAAATAAGAACTCTCTAAATGAACATAACTTACCATTTTCATCTTCCAGGTCAGGTGAAAGGTAGTACTGCAGCGGATTGGGCCAAATGTCATCCTTTATAACCTCACCTAGCTCATCTCCAAATACCGAGGACTCATCCGTGAACCAACAGAAAAAACTGTCCTGGGTCTGGTCCTCGAATGAACGCTTTTCCCCTGTTCTCCGCCGTTCTTTTTTGAGTTGGTCGAATTGCTCGTCAAGTCTTTTCCTGGGTACCAATCTATCTTAGTATATGTCGAGGAGGGTTCCCCACTATCACCCAAGTGGAATTCTTTGGTAAGAACGGTGTTCTTGAACCACTCGTTCTTCTCGAAATGCTGTAATGGGACTAGTTAAATTACCAACTGTAACCTACGAAGTTGATCCGGAAGCCGGATTTGATATCCTCAAATTCCTGAACTTCGACTTTTTTCAAGTGTTTCAGAACACTCTCATCATTGCTTGTGAGCAAATCTGACAGTTGGGGATGGTTGATGAACGTAGTAAGCCAGAAATTGGGATTTTGGAAATCAGTTCGCACCGCTTCTCGAAGTGAGGCTGTCTCATTTTATTAAACTTTGTTCAACCTTAAGGATTTCTTCGCTAGCTTGCTCATTGAGATTGTCAATAGCGTTCTGAACTTCCTCTATTTCGTCGATGAGAGCATTGGTGGAACCTAAAACAAAACCATCAGTGGCGAGGTAACCCTATAGGCACGTTGCTATTCGCATATTGCGACAAGAAAGCATACATAGACATTAAGACTTACTAAGTTCGCCATCTGCACCAGTATCGTTACTAGGACGAGGTACTTTAGGTTGGGACGCCATTGCGGATAATCTTGATGGAAAACCACCGAACAGGATGTACATATGGCCTCCAGAACATTCAAACAAACGAGGACGAGAATCACATTTTCTTTGATATCTAATACTTTTCACATTTTTTACATACGTTTACACTTTAATACTTTTTATACGTAAATGAGACAGTTTTACATCATAATCATCCATTGACAATTCAACATACAGCTTTTGGCGGACAGAATTATTTGGGTAGTCTGGTTCCTAGCTGAAACCGAAAAACAGCACTGTATCATCTGCAGATGACATCTTCGTGTCTTTATTCATACTTAGCTGGTGAAATATCTGTCTAGAGACGGGCTATATTCACAACCAACTTATAGCGAAAGTGGCCGGTTCATAAGTCAGACAATTTCTATGCTATAAAATCTTTCACGAGGTGAGACCCAGTGAATTCTTCTAGAATCCTGTATGCGCATGCACAGTAGGTAACTAGAGAAATTTCCAGACCTTTCAAGAAACCGGAATGAATATATGAACTCTACAAAGACAAGGTCTGACATTCTCCGGAGGGAGACGTGGCTATAAGGATGGTGAGGACTCAACCAAACGGAATGTGGAAACATGTATCAAAACGGTTACGGTAGAGTAGAAGGCTGTACGCATTCCCAGGCTAGCGGTGCTTCTGGAGGAATTCCATCTGGTCCTGCTGTTTTCCCGGCTTCCAGCAACTGTATGGTGTTCAAGACTTCACTTCTGGGCTTGTGTTCACTGGTAGTTCTGTGATTGGGCTGCTGGCGGTATTTCTGGACAAGTTGCAGGTGGTGTTGGTGTTGGTGAAGTGGGTGGTGTGAAGCTACATCTACTCCTCTTCTTGATCTGATCTTATGTCGAGTAGGCTGTGTCTCCATCTCCCCTTTCTTCACATTGAGATGAAGTCGATTTGATGTTAAGTGTAGTGTGTCCTGGTGTCTGGTGAAATGAAATCCATGTCGCTGCCTTGTGAATATCCTTGTGTTCGTACATAGTGCCTGACTGCAATCACCAAATCGTTGAATGTGCAGAAGTCTGCAAACCGTTCTCCATTCTCATTCATCATTTCACTGAGTGCTTCTCGACCCATGATCAGTTCTCTTCCTGTGTTGTCTGCTCCCAGTTTGGCATTCATGTCACCCACCCCACACATTAGAACGAATTTTGATGTCGTCAACTAGGTTGGGGGTATTGTCCAGTACTGATTTCAGTTGTCTGTAGAATTCCTTCTTCTTTTTATCTGGATTATTTGTGGGTGCGTAGTGTAGTGTAGTGTAGTGTAGCATTATATGGTTGTGACTTTCCTTTCTTTTGAGTTGAATCTTTTGTGTCATGATCCTGGTGCTGCAGGAGGAGATTGGTTCCCATGAGAGCCTGCATTAGAGAGAGCCATCGATGCTGTTGGGGACATGATGATAGCCACTCGGAAACTCAGTGTACTGGTGGTTGTTGTCTGTGTGAGAATATCGGAGTAGATTATTGACTCTCCAGTTGACAGTTTGGAGAGTCCACTTGCATTCCATCTGCTTTCTCAGATTCCCAGCCTGGTACTTCTATGCTATACCTTCTCATCTCTTTTGCAATCTGGGCAGTCTTACCAGCCAGCCAGCCAACCAGCTAGCTTCAAACATTGTGCGGACATTCCATGTCCCCATGTTTACTTTTGTTTTCATCGAGAGAAGAGATGATATATCGGGTAATTGGCTTCTCGAAAGCTATCGTCAGCTGGTGTCATTTCGTCTCCCTGATTCCAGCGAGGAATCAGTTTGTTTTGATTTTCTTTGTGCTTTGAAGTTTGTTTAGCGATTGGATTAGTTTTACGGTGTAGGGTTGCTATCCCTATGCTGAACGTTGCCTCTTTATCCGGGCTTAGGAGCGGCCAGAAAACTAGTGAACTCCTAATCGTGCACATAGTTATGGCCAAACTTTGCCGGGGTGTACTTAAAATCATTGCACGAATGAAATGACTGTAGATGTCTCAGAATGAATCACTTCTTCGTTTTATTGATGTGACCGTGGATGAGGATAAATTGTGGTTAATACTGTTTCACTGCTTTTGTTTGGTTGATTCGGATGGAGGATTCAAATTTGATCGCCATGATGCCCGAGTTCATAGCCCCGCCTATTAGAGGTTGCTAAGATAGGATAGCATTGAGAAGTGCCGAGAAAACCAGCGGAGCAAACCGACGAAATTAGGGAAGCTTCATTAGTATCACTTACCAGGAAGAGCAGTGAAAATAAATTTTGCAAGTCTCGCTATGTAATTGTTGATACTGTTTTACAAAGGCATCCAGTAAAACGGATTCACCACATTTAATGAGAGGAAAGCATGTATAGACTGTGTAGGGTGAGCTGCGCGTGGCCACTTCAAAATGGAGGTTTCAAAGGAGTGAATAGGAAAGGAAAGACTTGTACAGCCTCATGTCAGTTTTTCATACCACAAGGATAGTAAAATGGTGATTAGGTCTGTCATCTGTAGAAATTAATATCCACGAAAACCCAGAACTGACCGAAGATGTTAGTCGGCATACTGGGTAAACGTGTGCGACTTAAGGGCACGGGGGCAGGATTCTCGCAAATATATTTCACTGAAGGGGCTGAATGGCCACAAGCTTCAGTCCTTGATTTAGTGTGTTTGAGACAGTTAGACGGTCAGTTTAGCGGTGTCACGTATTAAGAAATCGAAAGCAGCGAAACCAGTATGAGGATGAACAGAGTGGGCAGTTTCTTCGTCCCTTTGCATAAGTTGCAACTTGCAGTGAAAATTGGATAAGAGAGTTCCTAGGCAATATTACTACCAAGTAATAGCTCTTAGATGCAGAGTTCAAATGGAAGCTACGCGACGTATCTGTTCAGAATGAATGAGAACTTGAAACTGACACTATTTTCGGGAGCAAAAGTAAGACAGATCCAAATAACTCCATATTTTATTCAAAAAAAGCCAATCCACATTTTGTGAGGTAGTGAAATACTTTTGATATGGAAGCCTGACGTCTGACTTTGTATTGTTATATCGTATCATCAACCGCAAAAGTTAGATCCAGCCTTCTAAAAAGTAAATTTCCTTCACAGTAGAACAAGTCATTCAATTCGGGCGACACTCAGCTTAACCGTTCAGTGGCGCGATAGGCGGACTTGTAAACAGCAAGGATCTTGTGCATATATTCCTTGCTTTACGGTGAACCAGGTTTTAATGAGAAATATATTTTGATTAGCCATGTCGCACCCTAAGACGTTTGTTAAATCTTACAGTAGACGATGTTGGGATGTATTCAGTTTATTTTCAGGTATTGATGATGTCTTTCTTACGTGAGTTGAGAATAGAGAGATCGCGGCAAACTCAGGAGCTGCAGAGCGGGGGAAATGAAGGTGGATGACACACTCGTTGGCGTGGGGGATAAAAATAAAAAGCTGTTTCGAGGCAGATGGTGGCGCTGTCAACCCACCACGAAATCTCATTGTGGAGCTTTGAACGGCATTTAGCTGTCATTGTGAGGAGTTAGTAGGCACACAAAGTAATAAGCGCTGCAGCACTTGAAGAGTCATGCAATGAACCTGAATAGAGTGTCAGGTCGGATGCCGCAAGGTTGCTAACTTTAGGGTTAATGGGTCCAGGCGAAGATGACTGTGTCTGCATCTTTGACGAGCAAAGCACTGCAGTTGTAACTATAATTTATCAGGGCTTTTTGAAGTGGTTTTGGGCTCGTATACTCATTCTGTAGTCCCGTCAATTTAGGATGCTTGCTGGTGCTAGGATCCATACTTTCACCCGAATGGTCGGGATGCTTTTCAATTTTGGATCGCTTCATTTTGCAGGTATTATCTTTCAACAACAGCAACACCGATGATAATGATCACCTCATTGCAGAAAATAACCAGCAATATATTACGGGATTCTCAGTGTGATATTTACAAATTCACTTGCACAGCATTTTCGAATTAAGCAGCCATCACAGTTAAATAATGTTAATATTGGCAGTTTAATGAGCAATGATACACAATTACCAATTGTTTTGCTTTACCATCTGGTTGGTGGGTGTGTTTTTATATGGAGGGATGACAGATGGAATGATGGGAGGATCATCCGGCCAGTATAGAAATTCGCGTTCCATGCTAACAAGCTATGCTTAACTTATGTGATGAACTGTTGTGAAATGAAAAGCCCACTGCCACTATCACCGAAACAACAGAGGATTTTACTCGAAACCTAAAAGACCCACACCACTGAGATAACCTTCAATGATGACAGCAAGACACAATTGAGGAATATATGTTACCAATTCACAACATTCTATTGTTTTGCGAGGAGGCTGCACTGTGCTTTCATGAAAACCACTGTCCAGTAAGTAAGAATTACCGATCCAATTCAACTATTTGACTCTCACCAAATGAATATTTGTCAATCCTCGAATTACTTGAGTTTCTGGACGGTCGTTATTATCATTATTTTATTTGTCCTTGGGTCCCTAGTGGAATATACGGCTTCAGTAGCACGTCTCCATTACACTCTCTTCTCTGCAGTCTTTTCAACCTGGCTCCACGACTCCCCAGAAGCTTTCATTTTTTCCTCATATGATCTCCTCCATGTCACCCTCAGCTGGAACGCCCAACTTGTCGTTTTCTCCTTTGGGTGTATGCCCAATCCATCTCCACTTTCCTTTGCATATTTGTTGGGCGATAGGTTCCTGGCTGGTTCGTTGCCAGACCAGAGTTCCTTGTTGTTTATTCTTTCTGGCTATGCTATCTGATCTCCATCTTCAGAATGCGCAAGTACATTTCACGATAAGCTGGCAGATGAATAATTGAAGCGGGCACAAAAGGAATGACTTGATGTAATGTATGGTGGAACCGTTTTGGCAGCTCATGTTTTGAGCAGGCCGCCAATGGACCTGACTGAAGAGATGTAGGGATGATGCCCGACGCTTGTGGACAGAAGGGTGTTGGGTGTGAGTAGGCCTTTCTGAGTTGACCTGGTTAACACGTTACGAAATGTA